TTGATTTGTGAATTCCTTTCCTGTACAATTCCTGTCCAGTTTTGATAATAAGGGTGTGGTGACTCCTGCCTGCAATCCCAGTGCTTTGGGAGGCTGGGATGGGAGGATCCCTTGAGGTCAGGAGTTGGAGGCTGCAAAGAGCTGTGCCTGTCCCACTGCACTCCAGCTTGGGTGACAGAGCAAGGCCTGGCTTCTAAAAAAATAGTGACTGACTTACCTGTAAAGCGTTCTGCAGCTTGTGTCTGAAGGATTTTTTTTTTTTTTTTTTGAGACGGAGTCTGCTCTGTCACCCAGGCTGGAGTGCAATGGCACTATCTGGGCTCACTGTCCCCGCTGCCTCCAGGGTTCAAGCAATTCTCCTGCTGAGTAGCTGGAATTACAGGCATGCACCACCACACCCGGATAATTTTTCTATTTTTAGTGGAGACAGGGTTTCACCATGTTGGTCACGCTGGTCTCCAACTCCTGACCTTGTGATCTCCCCACCTTGGCCTCCTAAAGTACTGGGATTATAGGCGTGAGTCACCATGCCTGGCCTTAAGGATATTTTTAAAACTGGTGATTTTGTAATTAAGATAGAAGTCTGACTTCTAATGAAATGAGCTCAGATCGTGCCACTGCATTCCAGCCTGGGTGTCGCATGTCTGATCCCAGCATCCTCGCTGGGTCTCTGTACTCTTGCTGTCTCACCCACGTGTAATCTTCCTCATCCTTCCCCTTAAGAGCTAAGAGCACATCAGGCTTCCTGGCCCTTCCAATCTCTGCCTCGTGTCCAGGTGTCTGCGGGGAATTGAGGTCTCAGCACCAAACCTCGCCTGCACCTGTGCCCCATTTGCATGACTGAGTCCCAGTTGCTGCCTGCAGCCTGTCCTGTCTCACGCTCAGGATTTCTATGCTTAAAGCCTGCACCCTTGCTCTCTTCCTGTTCTCTGGCTTTGTGTAGTCTGGTGGAGGCTCCGTCTCTCCCCAGCCACCTCTGTGCTTGCTCTGGGCCCTCATCCCCTCTGTTCCCTCCCATGGGCCGGCAGGTGGACTCCAGGGCCCCTCGTGGGGCTGATGCCTCAGGCGCTTGCTGTTCTCCACTGGCTGCCTCCCCTGACCTGTGCGAGTCCCTGGGTGGTGCATTTCTCTCCAGTTGTAAAATGGATTAGGAGTCCAGTGCTATTTTCCGCTCATCTGAAATGTAAAAACTATATGATGATGATGATTTTTGTAGAGATGGAGTCTTACTGTCTGGCCCAGGCTGGTCATCCAACCGGCCTCAAGAGATCTTCCTGCCTCAGCCTCCCCAAGGGCTGGGATTACAGGTGTGAGCCTCTGTGTTTGGCGAGTTATTTTTACTTGAGGTTAAATTCACACAACATACAATTAACCATTTAAATTGCACAGTTAGGACAGATGTGGTGGCTCATGCCTGTAAAGCCAGCATTTTGGGAGGCTGAGGCAGGGGGTTCACTTGAGCTCAGGAGTTCAAGACCTTCCTGGGCAACATTGCAAGACCCAGTTGCTACAAAAAATTTATTTTGACGGATCACCTGAGGTTGGGAGTTTGGAGACCAGCCTGACCAACATGGAAAAAACCCATCTCTACTAAAACTAGAAAATTAGAGGGGCGTGATGGCGCATGCCTATCATCCCAGCTACTCGGAAGGCTGAGGCAGGAGAATTGCTTGAGCCCCAGAGGCAGAGGTTGCGGTGAGCCAAGATCACACCACTGCACTCTGGCCTGGACAACGAGAGCAAAACTCCATCTCAACACACATATTTTTTATAAAGAGAAATAAGGCCAGGCGAGGTGACTCATGCCTGTAATCCCAGGACTTTGGGAGGCTGAGGTGGGCAGACCACGAGGTCAAGACCATCCTGGCCACCCCATCTCTACTAAGAATACAAAAATTAGCCAGGTGTAGTGGTACGCACCTATAGTCCCATCTACCCGGGAGGCGGAGGTTGCAGTGAACTGAGATTGCGCCACTGCGCTCTGTTTTGGGCGACAGGGAGGCCCTGTCTCAAAGATACTAGTTGATTTCACCCTTGATGGCATTCAGTCTGCTCCTAACACTGTGCCTACCTCTCCAAGGTGCTGAAACATCTGATTAATTCACTGATCGATTGCCCTGTCACTGCAGCTGTGAGGGCAAGGGACTCTGCGTGGGGCTCATACCCACTCTGCCACCTGGTCCTACAGACAGGCTCTTCTGAGTGGAGCAGCAGAGTGGTCCTAAGGACCCAGGAGCAAGCCTGGTCTGACGTTTGTGGATTGAAGAGGAAGGCTGGCACCTCCCAACCACACACACGCCTCTTCTCCCAGAGGGGTCACTGGTCTGTTCTCAGCGCCACAGACCCATCTGGGATGCCCCTGAAGCCAGGGGTCTGGGAGGACAGACGACACCACAGATTCCTTCTCCCACTACCTCCACCCCAGCTCAGAGTTTGTCAGCAGATATTCTTGGGCCAGAACCAAATATCTCCATTCAGTAACATCATGCTCATTTGTCAACCAGTAGATAATTTTAGCCTTGGGTGGGTGCATCAGATGCCTGACATCTGATTTTTAAAAAATATTTTTATTTTCTTGAGACAGGGTCTCACTCTCTTGCCCAGGCTGAAGTTCTGTGGCATGATCTCGGCTCCCTGTAGCCTCAGCCTCCTGAGTAGCTGGGATTACAGGAGCCTACCACCACGCCCAGCTAATTTTTGTATTTTAGTAGAGATGTGGTTTCACCATGTTGGTCAGACTGGTCTCAAACTCCTGACTTCAGGTGATCCACCTGCCTTGACCTCCCTAAGTGCTGGGATGATCGGAGTGAGCCACCACACCTGGCACTGACCTCTGATCTGAATGGCAGGGGTGGTGGGGCAGGCAGAAGCTGTGGGAGTTGACACAATGAAAGCATTGCTTAGAGGGAAACTGACAGCCTCAACCACCTGTGGTCTCAAAAACCGTTGGCTCTGGCTGGCTTGGTGGCTCAGGCCTGTCATCCCAGCAATTTGGGAGGCCTAGGTGGTAAGAGTGCTTGAGGCCAGGAGTTCAAGACCCCCCCGGGCAACACAGTGAGACCCCCCCATCTCTACAGAAAATAAATTTTAACCAGTGGGTGCATGTTATTTCCAGCTACTTGGGAGGCTGAGGTGGGAGAATCACTTGAACCTGGGAGGTGGAGTTCATGCCATTGCACTGCGTCCTGAGTGACAGGGTGAGCCTTCATCTCAAAAGAAAAAAACTAGGTTTCTACCTTAAACTAGAAAGAACAAATGAAACTTAACGGAGGCAGAAGAAGAAAGATTAGGGGGACATTAGTAAACTAGAAAGCAGAAAAACCAAAGGTAAATTCTCTGAAAAGATGAACAAAATTGGCAAACTCTCAGCTACACTGACTACCAAAAGCATGAAGGAGAGACGTCATTACCCATCCACGCAATCAACAGGACTCTGAACACTAGGGGAAGTGGGCGTCGGCAAATCAGATGAAACCGGCAGACTCCCAGAGGCACACACAGCGCTTGACGTGTAACCAGAAATCACACGAATGACAAGCCCTAAGACTTCCTACAGCAAGCCTGTGTCCACAGCTTCCCAGTGCATTGCCAGTGCGCCACCATTCACAATCTTCCCAGCCTGGAGGAGGAGACAGTCTGCGAGGCTAAGGCAGCATGATCCCCCCAGAACAACATCCGTTATGAACACAGGAGCAGCTCCTGACAGTCTACAAGGCTTCGGGAGCGAAAAGCATCATCACCCTCTGTCCCCCGCGGCCCCCCCCCCCCAGAACAGTGTCCATCATGAACACAGATTTAAAGATCCTGAACAAAACATTAGCAACCCCAAGTGGGCAACATCATACACCGTGACCAAGCGGGTTTATTACGGCAATGTGGGGTCACTTAAACATCAACGTAATTACCAACACATGGCACCTTAGTAAACAGATGCCTGTAACCCCAGCACTTTGGGAGGCTGACGTGGACAGACTGCTTGAGCCCAGGAGTTCAAGAGCAGCATGGGCAACAGCGAAACCCTGTCTCTACCAAAATAAACCAAAAACAAAAATGAGCCAGGTACATGAGCGCATGCCTGTAGTCTCAGCTCCTCACAAGCCTGAGGCCAGAGGATGTGGGCTTGAGGCCAGGAGACACAGGTTCAGCGAGCCGAGATCATGCCAGTGCACTCCAGCCTGGTTGACACAGCCAGACCCTGTTTCCCAAAAAAAGAAAACGCCAAATATCCATCTCAATGATGCAGAAAAGCACAGGACAAAAGTCCCACGCCTGATAAGGAATCTCACAACTCAGGAGCAGAAGGGAGCATCCCCAGCTAGTAAGGGCCATCTGCTTAGGTTTCATTCGCTGCTGGGATAGGCCACCCCACCTCGGTGATTTAAAACAATGCAAGTTTAGGCTGGGTGCGGTGGCTCATGCCTGTCATCCCAGCACTTTGGGAAGCACCAAGGCAGGTGGACCACTTGAGGCCAGCAGTTCGAGACAAGCCTGGCCAACGTGGTGAAAACCCCATCTCCACTAAAGATGGAAAAATTAGCTAGGTGTGGTGGTACACAGCTGTAGTCCCAGCTACTTGGGAGGCCAAGACAGGAGAACTGTGAACCTGGGAGGGAGAGGTTGCAGGGAGCCCAGATTGTGCCACTGCACTTCAGCCTGGGTGACAGAGTAAGACTCCATCTCAAAGCCCCAAAACACAAAACAACTTTACCTTACGATTTGGAGGTTGGTAGTTAGACATGGGTCTCATGAGACTAAAAGGAAGGTGTAGGCAGAGGCTCTGGGAGAGGTTCTGTATCCGCATCCTTTCCAGAGGCATCCACATCCCTTGGCTGTGGCCTTTCCCACCAACTTCAAAGCCAGCAACAGTAGGTCGAGTCCACTGTGCCTCTCGGCAACTCCTGGTCTGCTTTCGAGGAGCCTGTGATTCCACTAGGTTCCGTTCTGGAAAATGCTCCTCCATGTTCAGGGTCAGCTGGTTTGCAACCTTGATTCCTCCTGGCGGTGCAGCCTCCCATCATTTCATTGTCCAGGGGTTAGGACGTGACCATCTTTGCTGGGTGCACTATTCTGCCTCCTACAGCATCCACGAGAAACACAGCCAGCAGCATAATTCATGGTGGGTGAGCATGTTTCCCTCTAAAGGCAAACAAGACATTTAATAAGATGCTAAAAAAAAAAGGAATACATGTCAGAACAGAAGAGGTAAAAGTGCATTCATAGCACCATGAGCCTCTACACAGCGAACCTTTGAGACAGACACGGCTGGATCAAGGAGGTTCAGCCGGGTCCTGGGATCCAACGGAGAGGCCCATCACATGTCTGTCGACTGCTAAGAGTCCAAACAAAACCAAGACTCCATTCACTGGCAGCAAAACTGAAGCACACACTTAAGAACCGCCTTGGTGGAGGAAATTTCAGATTTGTACACTGCAGACAGTGTTGAAAGAAATGAAAAGATCTAAACAAATGGAAAGGACCCCACGTTTACCGACGAGGAGACTGCTGTGAAGATCTCCATTCTCCCCAAGTGGACTCTCATCCCATGCAGTCCCTATTAAGATCCCAGTAGGTTTTTTGGAGAAAGTGACAAGCTGATTCTAAACATATGGAAATACAGGAACTGAGACGAGCCAAAACAGGATGAGTTGCAGGGCTCAGGCTACCTGATTTCAAAACTCACTAGAAAGTGTGACAGTGGCAGCCGGGCGTGGTGGCTCACGCCTGTAATCCCAGCGCTTTGGGTGGCCAGATCACGAGATCAGGAGTTTGAGACCAGACTGGCCAATATGGTGACACCCTGTCTCTAGTAAAAATACAAAAATTAGCCAGGTGTGGTGGTGCACCTGTAATTCCAGCTACTCAGGAGGCTGAGGCAGAAGAATCACTTGAACCTGGGAGGCAGAGGTTGCAGTGAGCCAAGATCACACCACTGCACTCCAGCCTGGAAGACAGAGCGAGACTCTGTCTCAAAAAAAAAAAAGAGTGACAGTGGTGCAAGGAAGGGCATGAAGCGAATACACAGAGTCTAGAGTAAACTCTTGTGTTCATGGCTAGCTGATTCTTCAACAAAGAATGCCAAGGTATTTCAGGTGGGAAACGGAGGGTCTAACAGACGGTGTTGGGACCACAGGTACCTGGGGAAGAAGTGACTTGAGACCCTTCACACATCCCCATAAAGGAACTCACGACGGCTCACAGGCCTAAATAGAATAGCTGAAGCCATCACACTTTGAGAAGCGGATGTAGGAGAACATCTCTGTGATCTTCGGTTAGGCACAGAGTTGTTAGAGGAAAGAAAAGGCAGCTGAACCTCGTCAAAATGAAAAACATCTGCACTTTAGAAACACAACTTAAAAAAGAAATGTCACCCAGCTGGAGTGCAGCAGGCGTGATCTTGGCTCACGGCAACTTCCACCTCCCGGGTACAAGCGATTCTGTCAGCCTCCCGAGTAGCTGGGATTACAGGCACCACCACCGCACTCGGCTAATTTTTGTATTTTTAGTTGAGACAGGGTTTCACCATGTTGGTCAGGCTGGTCTCAAACTCCTGACCTCGTGATCTGCCCGCCTCAGCCTCCCGATGTGCTGATTACAGGCGGGAGCCACCGCGCCCAACCAAGACAACTTGTTTGTTTTGTTTTTGAGACGAGGCTTCGCTGTTACCCAGCTAGAGCCCCGTCACATGCATGCTCATGGCTCACTATAGCATCAAACAATCCTCCAGCCTCAGCTTCCTGAGTAGCTGGGACCACAGCCGCAGAGTACCATGTGTGGCTAATTTTTGTATTTTTTGTAGAGATGGGATCTTCTATGTTGCCTAGGCCCGTCTTGAACTCCCGGGCTGAAGTCATCCTCCAGCCTCAGCCTCCCCTAAGTGCTGGGATTATAGGTGTCAGCCACTGCACTGGGCCAAAAGACACCTTTTAAAAAAAAGAAAAAAAAAAATAGAGAAGCCACAGTCTGGGAAAAATATCTGCCAGTCTTTTTTTCCCCTTGATCCACCACTAAGAGTTAGTTGTAAGTAATATGCAAAGTCCTACAACTCAAGAACATAATCCAGTTAAAATGTGTATCCAGCAGCTTTGTGCACATTAAAAAATAAAACCAAAAAGGGCGAGAGACTTAAATAGACTATTTCACCAAAGACTGACATAAGAATGGCCAGTAAACACATGAAGGGGTTAACATCTCTCGTTATCAGAGAAATACGAGAACAGCTCACGAGAACATACCCAGTGCTGGCGAGGAGGTGGGACTGCAGCTCTCATACTGTGCGAAACAGTATGCTCTGCCAGGTGTAGGGGCTCACCCTGTGATCCTAGCACTTTGGGAGCCACGGTGGGCAGATCAATCACCTGAGGCCAAGAGTTCGAGAGCAGCCTGGCCAACATGGTGAAACTGCGTCTCTGCTAAAAATACAAAAATCAGCCAGGCATGATCATGGCGCCTGTAAGCCCAGGTACTCGGGAGGCTGAGGCAGGAGAACTGCTTGAGCCCAGGAGGCGGAGGTTGCGGTGAGCCTAGATTGCTCCGCTGCACTCCAGCCTGGGTGACAGAGTGAGATTCTGTCTTTAATTTAAAAAAATGGGCTGGGCACAGTGGCCCAAACCTGTAATCCCAGCACTTTGGGGAGGCCAAGGTGGGCGGATCACCAGGTCGAGATGGAGACCATCCTGGCCGACATGGTGAAACTCCATCTCTACTAAAAATACAAAAATTAGCTGGACGTGGTGGTGCGCACCTGTGGTCCCCGCTACTCTGGAGGCAGGAGAATTGCTTGAACTCGGCAGGCGGAGATTGCAGTGAGTCAAGATCGTGCCACTACATGCCAGCCTGGTGACAAAGTTAGACTTCATCTGAAAAAAAAAGAAAAAATAGTGTACACCCATACTGGAAAACAGTTTTTTAGAGAGATACAATACTATGGACCAGCAGCTCCACTCCTAAGAATGTCCCCAAGAAAATTAAAACCTGTGTCCAAAGACTTGTACACAAATAGCGTAGCATCTTTCAGAATAACCCTAGGTGGAAATAACCCAAGTTCCACCAGCTACGGAGGAGCCATGAACACACGTGGCCTCTCCACAGAGCAGAGCATTGTTCAGCTGCAAAGCATGAAGCTCCATGTCACCATGTGGATGAGCCTCCAAAACGCTGCACCTGGGGAAGAAACCAGATGCAGAGAGTGTGTCCCGTGTGGGAAACGCACAGGGCAGTGCTGGCTGCACAAAGCGGATTCCCCGTCACCGACCTGTACACTTACATTGAGGGCATTTTATGCTCTAAAAACTATACATCAATAAAACAGTTTCAGAAACAGCCTCAGGGTAAAGGGAGCACATTTGTTACCCAACATGTCTGCAAAACAATTCCAGCCCTGACCAACAGCAGATGAAACTGAGGAGGGAAAACGGTAGCGTGTAATGGTATCAAAACCAGCAATCATACAGGAAAAGAGCTAAAGGAAGACATAAAGAGCACAACACAGACAATCTACAAAGGCCGGCCTGGTGGCTCACGCCTGTCATCCCAGCTGGTCGGGAGTCTGGAGGCAGGAGAACTGCTTGAACCCGGGAGGCACAGGTGTCAGTGAGCTGAGATGGCGCCACGGTACTCCAGCCTAGGTGACAGAGCAAGACTCCATCTCAAAAAAAAAAAAAAAAAAAAAAAAAGGTCTACGAAAACAGGAGAGATGCAAATCATGGGTTAGGGAGGAAATACTGTATGTCCCCAGGTTGGAAGACGCCCCGGATGGCAGCACCACTCAGAATCTGGCTTTGTGTTGCAAAGGACTGGGAAGAGCTAAGACGCTCGAAGAACGAGGCCATACTCTGCCAGATGTCAGAACCTCCTGACAATCACAGAGAAACTCCACTCTCTACCAAAAAACACAAAAATTATCTGAGCATGGTGACACACACCACGCCTGTAAGTTCCAGGTACTTGGGAGGCTGAGGTGGGGGGATCACCTTAGCCACGGAAGTCAAGACTGCAGGGAGCCAAGATGGTACCACTGCACTCCAGACTGGGAAACAGCAAGACCGTGTATTTAAAAAAAAAAAAAAAAATCCAGCTTATTAAAAAGCCACCACTGCGCAGACAGCATGGCAGTGGACAGACGGGTGGTACCAAGAATCCCGAAAGGGGCCCAGGCTTAATGGGGCTTTTTATGATGGGCAGTGACAGCCCTTCCACTGAACAGCACGAGGCTGCTAGTAACCTCCCCTCCCCACACAGGACAGTGAACCCTGAGCCCTCCCTCTCCCTCTCCCTCTCCCTCTCAGGAGGCCGGTTAGAAGGGAAAACGTCGGTGTCTGCACCAAGCAGTACTTGAAACCATAAAAATAAGAGGGCAGTAAGTACTGTGTTGCCGCTTCCGTCCGTATTACTCCCTTTCACACTGCAGTAGCGGACTGCCTCAGAGTGGGTGATTCACAAAGAAAAGAGGTTTAATTGACTCAGTTCCACAGGGCTGGGGAGGCCTCAGGAACGTACAGTCGTGATGGGAAAGGAGGCAGACACGTCCTTCGCACGGCAGCTGGAGAGGGAAATGAGTGCCCAGTGAAGGGGGAGCCCCTCAGAAAACCAGCAGATCAGACGCAGACTCCAGAGAACCGGATGGGGGGAACCACCCCCACGATTCGGTTATCTCCATCTGGTCCCTCACAACATGTGCAGATAATGGCAACTACAATTCAGGATGAGATCTGGGTCAAAACACCACCAAACCATGTCACTGCGCCCCAGCCCCTCCTAAACCTCATGTCCTCGGTTCAAACCACATCCTACCCGTCCAGCGGTTCCCCAGAGTCTTATCGAATTCCAGCCTTAATCCAAAAGTCCAAGTCCAAAGTCTCATCTGAGACCAGGCAAGTCCCTTCTGGCTGTGAGCCTGCAAAATCAAAAGCAAGTTACCTCCCAGAAACGGGTGCACAGGCATTGGGTAAATACGCCCATTCCAAACGGGAGACATTGGCCACATCAGGCCCCATGCCAGCCTGAAATCCAGCAGGACAGTCAGATCCTAAGCCCCAAAATGACCTCCTAAGACTCCATGTCTCACATCCAGGTCATGCTGATGCAAGAGGTGGCTTCCCAAGGTCCCCTGTGAACCAAGCCCCCTCCTGGCTGCGTTCACAGGCTGGTGTTTGTTGAGTGTGGCTTTTCCAGGTGCACAGTGCAAGCTGTCCGTGGATCTCCCATTCTGGGTTCCACAGGACAGTGGCCCTTTTCTCAGAGCTCCGCTAAGCAGTGCCCCAGTGGTTACTGTTGGGGGAGGAGCTCTGAGCCCACATTTCCCTCTGTCCTGCGCTCACAGAGGTTCTCCATGACTCTGCCCCTGCAGCACACTTCAGCCTGGACACCCAGCTGTTCCTATACATCCTCTGAAATCTAAGCGGAGGTTCCCAAACCTTTTTTTTTTTTTTTTGAGACGGGAGTTTTGTTGTTCCCCAGGCTGGAGTGCAATGGCGCGATCTCAGCTCACCACAACCTCCGCCTCCTGGGTTCAGGCAATTCTCCTGCCTCAGCCTCCTGAGTAGCTGGGATTACAGGCACGCACCACCATGCCCAGCTAATTTTTGTATTTTTAGTAGAGACAGGGTTCACCATGTTGACCAGTATGGTCTCGATCTCTTGACCTCATGATCCACCTGCCTCGGCCTCCCAAAGTGCTGGGATTATAGGCGTGAGCCACCATGCCCAGCCTACCTTTTTTTTTTTTTTTAAGACACAGTCTTGCTCTTGTCACCCAGGCTAGAGTGCAGTGGCATGAGCTCAGCTCATTGCAACCTTTGCCCCCTGGGTTCAAGTCATCCTCCCACCTCAGCCTCCCAAGTAGCTGGGAGTACAGGTACACACCACACTTGACTACGGTTTGTATTTTAATAGAGATGGGGTTTCACCATGTTGGTCAGGCTGGTCTCAAGCTCCTGACCTCAGGTGATTCACCTGCTGTGGCCTCCCAATGTACTGGGATACAGCTGTGAGCCACCGCACCCAGTCGACAAAGCTGTTTTTGACTTCTGTGCACCTGCAGGCCTAACGCCACATGGAAGCCGCCAAGGCTTGGGGCTTTCGCCCTCCGAAGCAATAGCCTGAGCTGTACCTTGGCTGCTTACAGCCATGGGAGGCAGGCCACCCGAGACTGCGCAAAGCAGCCAGCCTCTGGGCCCAGCCCACCAAACCATTTTTCCCTCCTACACCTCTGGGTCGGTGAGTGGAGGGGCTGCCATGAAGACCTGTGACGTCCCTGGAGACACTTCCCCATGGTCTTGTGATTAACATTTGGCTCCTTGTTATGCAACTTTCTGCAGCTGAAATTTTTACATTTCTCCTCAGAAAATTGGCTTTTAATTTTTTAGACAGTCTCACCCTGTCACCCAGGCTGGAGTACAGTGGCACGATCTCAGCTCACTGCACCCTCCGCTTCCTGGGTTCAAGTGATCCCCCTGCCTCAGCCTCCTGAGGAGCTGGGACCAGGCATGAGCCACCACGCCCGGCTAATTTTTTGTATTTTAGTAGAGACAGCATTTCACCATATTAGCCAGGATAGTCTTGATCTCCTGACCTTGTGATCTGCCTGCCTCAGCCTCCCAAAGTGCTGGGATTACAGGCATGAGGCACCGTGCCAGGCTGGGAAAAAGGTTTAACGGACTCTCACTTCCACATGGCTGGGGAGGCCTCACACTCATGCCAGAAGGCAGAGAGGCAAAGGCAGGTCTTACATGGCGGCAGGCAAGAGAGTGTGTACAGGGGAACTCCCACATATAAAACCATCAGCTCTCAGGAGAGGGAAAACTGCCCCCATGATTCAGTTCTCTCCACCTGGGCCCACCCTTCACACGTCGAGATTATTACAGTTCAAGGTGAGATTTCTTTGGGGACAAAAAGCCAAACCAAATACCATCTTTGTTGTCGGTATTTGAGGAATCAAGGTCGATATGTAACATTTAAGAGATAGTGTCTTTTCCCCTCCCCCCGAGATGGGGTCTCACTCTGTCATCCCGGCTGGAGTGCAGTGGTGCAATCTCGGCTCACTGCAACCTCCGACTCCCAGGTTCAAGTGATCTTCCTGCCTCAGCCTCCTGGGTAGCTGGGATTACAGGCACACACCACTGTGACCAGCTGAGTTTTCTATTTTCAGTAGCGAAGGGGTATCACCTTCATCACATTGGCCAGGAGGGTCTCCATCTCTTGAGCTCGTGATCCGCCTGCCTTACACTCCCAAATTGCTGGGATTACAGGTGTGGGCCACCGCGCCCAGCCTGGGACATTGTCTCAATTAAAATTAAGAACTTTTGCTGGGGGTGGTGGCTCACACCTATAATCCCAGCATTTTGTGAGGCTGAGGTGGGCGGATCACCTGAGGTCGGCGTTCAAACAAGCCCGACCAACATGGAGAAACCCCGTCTCTACTAAAAATACGAAATTAGCCGGGCGTCCTGGCGCGTGCCTGTAATCCCAGCTACTCGGGAGGCTGAAGCGGGAGAATTGCCTGAACCCAGGAGGCGGAGGTGGCGGTGAGCCGAGATCTCGCCATTGCACTCCAGCCTGGGTAACAAGAGCGAAACTCTGTCTCAAAAAAAAAAAAAAACCTCACCAGAATCATAACGACAGGATGGAAAGGCCCCTACTACGCGACAGAGCCCACTGGCCACACACCTGACGAGGGTGCGTGCAGAATGTTTTGGCTTTTCTTCTATCTTGAAAATAGAAATCAGCTAAACAGAAAATCGGCAAGACACCAAAACCAGCAGTGGCAGAAGCAGGATGACCCGTGGCCATGTGCCAAACAAGATGCTCGGTCTCCCCAGTGACGGCCACTGTCCACTCACCACCCAGGCGGAGTGCAGACGGGTGTGCACCCACAGGGTATGGGGCCAATGGACTCAGTGGCATCACTGGAACAGTGGGAGGGACAGACACATTCTGGGACTTGACCTGAACGTGGCCTCACCTCCCTCGGGCCCTGTTCTATAGGAAGCCACGCCCTGCGCAGCCTGAAGACAGGCAGAACGTGGCTCATGGAGGAGCCTGGGAGGCCACCGGTCTTCCGCCAGGACAGGCTGCGGGGAGAGCGGGGCCACTGGGGGCAGCGGCAGTGATGGGGGCCTCTGGAACTCAACAGGCTGAATGTATGTGTGTTTGTAGCCTCAGTGTCACCACAGGAGTCACAGAGGCCTGGAACCCCTCACGCAGCTGCTGCAACCCTGCTGAGGCTCTGCCCACCCGTGACACTCGGCCCCTCCCAAAGAAAAAGGACAGGGACAGAGTCTCCCTTCCCACCTGCAGTGTGTGGGACTCCCAGGTGGGGTGCGTGGCAGACACAGACCACAGTCCTCCACATGGGGACCCCTCCTGAGAGGAGGCTGCCCGGCTGTGCTGGCCCCAGGTCCCAGGCCCCTGCTGAGTCTGCATTTTCTGCTGAGTAAACGGACCGTGGATCTTTCTGGGTGTGGACTTTCTCCCTGTGGATCTATAATTTCTCAGAAGCGGAGCTGAGACGACACCTGGAAAACTATCA